GGGATTATTGTTATTCGGTTATATCTCTGTATGCGTGTGTAGCCATATGTCTAGTCTCCTATGTAGTCTGTAGTTGAGTGAATATTCGGTGGTACAATAGAACATACGGAGAGTAGCTTTCTAACACTGCGTTTGTGTTATCTATCTGTGTTTCTGTTATCTGTCGACGCAACAACCTGACACTACCCTTAAGGCGACTACCTCGCACATGCCAAACCGAGAACCTGGTAACGGGAGTTGAAAGACTCACTTATACTGGTGCACGTGACCAGCGGTTTGGTTGGGTAGTGGCAATACTTGCGTAGGTAGCCACGTTTCTAGTATCGGTATAGTATCTACTATCTAGTATCGTATCGGTTCTAATATCTGTTTTTCTCTCTAAGCACGAGTTGTACCGCGATCAACGTCACCTGTTTGCCACGAGACGCACGTAATCTACTGCACACGCTATCGGACAGAGCGTCTCCACTCTGCAATGTTCACGTAAGTGCGACGATCACTTGTTCTAGGCTAACGTATGCTCGAACTAGTTTTTTTTTAAACACATTCGTTTGTGTGCGCTATAAAATTGCCCTAGACGCGACCGCGCGTAACGATTACTGCTGTTTCGCCACCACTCCTCGCCTCAACCGCTCTAGTTCCTCCCCTCACGCCTCTCACGCCTCCCACGCCTCACGCCGTACGTCTCACGCCTCTCGCGTACCTTTTCACCCTTGTTCCCTTTCTTTTAACGCTTTAAATCTGCCGTTTTATCGCGTCTTCACGCCCTACCTGTCTACACCTTACCGCGCCTCACGCAGGTAGCACAAGAAATCGCGGCAGCGACGACGCCCGCTGGCCCAACGACGCGCTGGAGGCGGCCCTCCAGCGTTTCCGCGACGGCCTCGCCCCAGACGGCGACGAGTGGGACGACATGCCGGGCCTCGCCCCAATTGACGAGCTATGGGACGACCTGCCGGGGCTTGGCCCACTCGACGGGAATAGGGTCGACCTGCCGGGGCTCATCCCAATCGGCGATTGGGACGTCCACTACCACGCCCCATACGGCAGGCCCCCGACACCCGACCACAACGACGACCGGCAAGACGAGGACCCACACGGAGAGAGAGAGGACCTGCCAGTCGCCCCACACCCCGTCGAACACGATCACCAGGACCTGCCAGTCGCCCCACAACTACCCGAGCCCAACCAGCACGATCAACTGCCAGCCCAACCACTCCACCACGACTGGCACTGGGACTGGGAGAACGTCGGTCGGGGCCGGCGACCGGTGCGGGTCGCCGGACGCCTCCCCCCGACATGGGCTCTAGGCAGCACGGTCTAGTTTTTACCAAGCTCCTCCACCCTCTCCTAGACACACTCGTCCGTTTCTCCGTCTGCCGTGATATCCGCACACGAAGCCGCTTAGCTATCTTCTCGATTTCTCCCGTACCCGCAAGTATCCCCCGCTCGTATCTGCTGCCTGCCGTTTCCTACCCGACCGAGCGTCACCGACAGGCCGCAGTAGACCGGTTTAAGGTACG